GTTGGACTGCCCGATTCTACGAGAAGTATGAGGACGTCAGTATCCTTGAACAAAGCCTCGAGAATATGTTCCGGGCCCAGGCCCGCACTCTCTCAGAAAGCGCTGCCCCGTGTTTTTGTCCTCCGCGGACTTTTTCCAGAACTGTGTTTTAGCGCTTTAGCGGCAGGCATGAGGCTATATCATGAGGCATTTGAAGAAGACGAGTCTAATGGTACAAGATGGGGCGCCGCACTGGCCTGTGGGGGTGGCTTCGGGGCAGGGGTTGGTTGAAGGTCAAAGTGGACATCATTCCATGGCCAGATTTATGAGACATGATCTCCGTGACTGCTAAACTGCGGTAGAGCAATGCAAGGGGACATCCGAGTTCTCCTGTTTTGGCCATCCCATTTGGTTGAACATCCCCTTTGGCTTCCCTCCTGTGGGTCCCTTGATTTCCAGATCCTCGTGGGCAGATTTGGTCGATGTTTCTTCTCTTCACCAATCGTTCACTTCAGAAACTACTGATGGACGAAATCCCTGCACTTTGAAACCATGGGGTTGCCCATTGGTTTCTTGGCATTTATGTTGGGGAATCAGACAGGGAGTCTGAAGTGGTGCCGAGGAGTTCGCGTCACCATCCGCATTTGCGTTATCGAAGTCGGGTTTTGGCTCGGCTCTCTCCCAGTTCGGCTGGCCTCCCCTAAGCTTTTTCGGTCGCCAAACCCAACCCATCAGAAAGGGTTCCGGTTCTACGAGGGGCACTGGGCTGACGCCCGGAGACACCCCCGGGCCCTCTCCGGATTCGCGTTGCGAAGAAGTCCATTTGTTGCCCATTTTTGGCCCTTTTCTGAACTGCTCTTGGGTTGGATCTTTAGACTTCAACTTTTTGGTTGAAATCAAGTTGGGTTTTCCACTAAACCCCCAAAAAGTTAAACTGTTTGCAGGGGGGTCAACGGCAACCAAGTTCTCTCCTTCCTTGCGTCGGGGGCAACTGGTCAAGTTCAATCCCGTGGCAAGATGCGCCTGCTTGTGGAGCTAGTGCAAAACTACTGGGAATCTATCGCTACTGGAACCACCTGTTATGTTTGTTCTGGGACGTAAAGCATATGAAGGTTGGTAGCTGGTTTATCTCAACCGCCAGCTGAAAACTTCTAACACTTGTAGAAACAACAGCCAGCATCTCAGAAAGAGCCAGTACTACGAGTTGATTTCCTACCACAGCCAACGACGGTTCTCAAGAGCCACTGTCTCTTATCGCCATTTGCCAAGACTCCAAGGCTTTCCCGCAAATTGAGCAGCGCCAAAAACCGATTCCAACGGCTTTGTATGCCCTTTTGGTGAATCAGCTGTGATTTTGTCAGCTGCTCATGGTGTGACATCCTGTTCTGGGGGAGGATCCTTTTGGTTTGAAACAGGAAACCCCGGGAAAAAGGCCTGAAGGTCTTTCCAGGTCCTTTTGAAAGAATGAGGCAGGTGATACAACGGGTATCCCCATCGCCTAACGTACAGCCATGGCTTCCGAATGTTAACCGAGAGGGGCCTCGTGATCTCCAGATAGAGGGCGATGCTGTAGTTTGGACAAAAGTTCCTAAGGAGACCAGGTCTGAAGCACGCTCGAACTTGGCATGGAAAAGCTGGCACATAGGGGGGGCTCACAAATTCCTTATTGAAAAAGTCATGGGCCCCAATTTTCCCATGTTCTTTGCGTGAAAAACACGGACTTTTGACCACGGCTCATATGGCTACGTGTCGAAATTCGGAAGCCCCCCAATACAAATGGCGTGCTTCTTTGTGTTTTGGTCCAAACCAACGCGGATTCCGCGTACACGAAATATGAGACCTCACTATGTTTTGTTTTTCTTTTTTTCTGCGTATTCTGCCGGTTGACTCGCAACCGTGTTTTTTTTCGAGGCGAAGGCGGGGTATCATAGCGCTACGGACTGTCAGCCGGTCACCAAGCGGGACTACCACAAGCATCACTATGCGACTTGGTGGGTCACTACCCTAGTGGTCCCTTATTTTGAGACAGACCCCTCTGCGTGCATGTGAAGGGAAACCCGTTTCCTTTTGGTGGGTTTGAGGGGCGACCACAGTTTATGGGATTGTAAGAGTGACACATGGCTGTGGGTCAAAAATATGTACCCAAAATGGAACCCTGGTAAATGGAAACAAGGACTCAAACCTGCGGTCCATATCCTGGTGGTTTAATTTTGACCCATACCCACATACCCAAGTGGACAGAAATTCTGATGTCCACGTCCCCAATTGAAGTTCATGCCGCACCACAGAGGTCATTATTTGGAATTTCGGTTTCTGGGGGTTTTCTCTGAGTCAGGACTGGTTGGTTGTTTCCCTTTAAGCAACCACTGAACGGGGGGTGACTTTGGTTTTCATAAGGCCAGCACTCGGCTGGGAGTTCTTGGCCAAATACCCAAACATCCTGGGAGATTCAGTCGAATGCCCTGTAGCTAGTTGCTTAGATTCTTGATTGCCATGAGATTCCCTTCCATTCCCAGTTCCACCAGTTGCCCAAAGACTTCATCACGAAGTACATCATGGCCTACTGGATTGGTTTTGGGCTTGGACCCCGACAACACATCCAGGTTTTGATGACTCATGACGGGGGTTGAATTGGATTGTTGATGTCGAGTGCTGGTAGTCGATTGTTCCCCAGTGCTTCCAGTTGCCACTGTAGGTAAACCGGGATCCTTGCCTCTAGGTTTTGCATGCTTCTAGGGGTTGATTCCCCATTCTTTTCAACCATCGTTCTTTCCAAAAACCGGATCCATTTTCCCTGGGTGTCCGGAGGTTTCTAGAAAGATCCGGATCCCTTGGAAAGAATGGAAATGGACGGTACCCCTAGAATGATGGTGTCCCCACCTACTCTAGCAGCTTACCTGGAACATAGGGCCCCCGAAGCCGGGGGTTGACCGGATTTTTGCCCCCAAGGTCAAGCTGCGGGGGCTTGGAACGCCACTTTTGTTTGGCTTTTCCACTAAACTGGGGTCTATGTTATATTTTAAGGTGGACTGATTATAGAACAGAGTGAGAAAATAGGAAATTCTTTGTGTAATGTTGACCCGAGATTAAGAAACCCCTGGTTGACTAATAGGAGGGTGTCCCTTTTAGTGTCCACCCCTACATGAATAGGATCGGTTCTACTTAGATCCGGGGTCAACATTATATACCCTTTTTGGCGGGCCAAGACGAAACCATGGAATCAACTGTGATCTTAAGGTTCGCTAAGTATGAACCTGTTTTGAGTATAAAAATTTTCCCAGAATCCTCCACCATACCCTTTGAGCATACCCCGGACCCCACGTGAAAGGAATCATTCTCGTGAGCGGGTTGGTTTGTATTCTCAAAAGGTATGTTGGAGGGTTCTTGGCCATGTTCATGGGGGGCAAATGCAAGCAACTCCTGTACCCTCCCACCAACTACCATGGAGGTGCAAAAAGGCCCTTGCCAAGAGGAAAGTCGCCTTACAGGGGTCTGTGCACCAGCCCATGTTAGCTGGTGGGAGGGTTTGCAAATTCTGTTGGTCTAAGAACCCAATTTTCAGCACGTGCCTCGAACAGAAGGACGGATCAGTCGGAAGCGCCAGAGTCTTCAACTGCCTTGGACCGGGAGCCTCAAGATAGACCGCAAGCCTTCAGTTCAGGTTCCCCAGGTTCCCTTTCACAGTAGACACCCGTGGAAGCAGCTGGTAAGGGCAGTGTTCAATGGACCTTCTGCGTGTGGCTCCTCTTTTTTGTCTTCTCCGGGTACCCTGCTTTGGGAAGCCAAAGGGAAACCCATTTTGTGGGTTCCCCAATTTGACAAACCCAGCATTGCTCGTTTGTTTGGTTTCGTTTGTGTTTCATGTGCCCGGGTGTGTCTCAAAATTGGGGGCGAGGGGGCAGCCTAAAAATCCAGAAAGTTCTCCTTGGTCCCTGCCAAGAAACCAAGCCACGATCACGATTTCGGGTTTGGAATTAACGAGGGTCTCGGAGCTTCTTAATTCTTTACATGGTTCTGGGTAGACCATTTCAGTACCAGGTTTCCCTGGGATCAGGCGACATTCGTGGGCTCGGGGCATCGGAGCCAAAATCGAGCGGACTTCGGGGGAAAAAGGCAAACCGGGTGTTTTTTTTTTTTTTTTTTCAGCTCACCTTGTTTCCAAAGTTTTAAGGCGAGCTTCCTTTGGTCATCATCCCGTTCTGAAAATATGGGCCTCGCCCAAAATGGCAGGCATGATTTCAGTCACGGATCTAGGCTTGGGCACAATTTCGTTTAGTTTTAAGCAGGACATGTTGCAAAGGCATCTTCTTGTGGGCGGCAATAGTTTTGCTTTGAACAGCCATGCCTTGTCTTTTTGTTCTTTTCTTTATGGGGATCTGACTTGCATGAACCAATGAGCCAAAAGATCCGCATGTTGAGACAAGGCAAGATTTGTCTACGGCGGGCTTTGCGACTCATGCAGGTTCCTTTATTACAGATCCTTCCATTTGCGTATCACAATATGTCGATGTTTTTCCTGGATTCCTTGGAGGGAATCTATCACTTGGAGGGAAGCTATCACTACTGGACATGTTTTTTGTTTTTTCTTTTTTCCAGGGGACTTATTCTCAATTCCAGGGATCCATCGAGGTGAAATGCCTGCTGGGATACGCCAACTCTGGCAGCGATATGGCATATCTGAATGGCCGAGCTTGCTTGCTGGAGAACAACCACATCGGCCACGGAAATGAGTGCCCATATGTCTTACCTCTAATCGACTACTGAAAGTCTGTGCCTCTTCTTTGTACTTTTAAAGGCCAAACAATAGAAGACAGCCTATGTGTTTGGGTACCCTTATTTTGAGACACACCCTTGTCAAGGGAAATCACATCGTGACCCAGAGAGGGGTCTTTGTAGACATCGGATCCTGTAGACAGCGGCAGCTTGCAGCAGACAGCGGCGGCTTGCAGCATGTGTCCTGTGCCTGGTGTAAGTCCACAGATGGCAGGGAAAAGAGAAGCTCAGAGTCAAGATCTCGGATTAACTAGGTCCCCCAGCTAGGTGCCCTTTCTCACCCCCCGTTTGGTTGGGAGGGGTCCCCTACTAAAATAGACTACAGACAAAAGGCACCTCTCTACTGGAGGACCTAGTTAAATCCCCCTCCACCTCTGGTTAGTACAGTCCTCCGGATCAATCTGACATGAGCTTAGTCCGATACACATGCGACTGCCCCTTACTAACCTTCATCTACCCGGTTTTGATTGTGGCTCACCTGATGCCGGTGTCCAAGCTCAAAGCTCCCGCGCTCTGAAGCCAAAAACGCTCTCTCGGGAAAGGCTCTGAAGGAACCATCAAACTTTTTTGGAGAGACATACAGCTTGAATACGGGCCCAGTTGTCTCTGCTAGCCTCAGTGTCTGAACCATAACAAGGAAAATCATTGCAACCTGAAAGTGAGTGCTGGTTTGGGACGAGAAAGGAACGTTGTGTTGTGATATTTTCTCGGGATGAGGCACCGTTGAACGGAAGCCGAGGAAACATGCAAAGTGGATCGCTTGATGTAGATCCACAGCTAAGTGAACCATGCATTTTGTTCTTCTGTCTGGGTGCTCTCTATGGTGGCTCGCTGAAGAGGGAACATTCTTTCTTTCCCCTTGAGTCCCTTGAGGCTTGTGCGCTTCCTTGCCGTGCGCGCTGGCAATGGCGTGGCGCGTGCGCCGTTTGAGACCTTTAAGTCTGTGGCTCCAAGACTTCAGAACTGAGCTCCGTGCGCTTTGTACCCCGCGCGCTGTCCGGGATTCCTGGCGGCCAGCTTGCGCCGGCCCAGCGTTGTTTATTGCCCAAAAGCGCTGCCTGGATTTTGCTTCCGACCCTTGTATTCAGAGTTGGTGGCCGCTTGGCTTTCATTTGCTTGCATGGCAGCTGGCGACCGGATGTCTGCAGTGCAAGAGGTAGTCAGTCCGCGCTGGTTGTGCTATTGACTTCAAGCCAAGGCGAATCGTTCTGTAACGTCAGCTGAGCCTTGCTGTCAATGGCTTGCTCAATGAGCTTCATGTCGTGGGCATGGCACATCCGTGCAGTGTGCTGTCTCTTTCGCGTGGCCAGCGGTCTCCTGGCTGCCCAACTGCTCGTTCCTGGCAGCCCAAGCTTTGCGCAAAGCCTGCTTCCTATGAGTGTAAGTCTTGGCATCTAAAAGGCATCGGATCCCGACACATTGAATGTCTTTGGCTTGCTGGTGCGATAAGGTAGGGAATGATCCAGGTGTTGGGAATGAACCTAAGGGTTCACTTAAAGAAAATCACACCGGGATTGTTTATAGGGGGCATTCCGTTTCTCATTCCCTGCATCTCTCGCACCGATCGGCTCCTGAACATGAGAACCTGAAGGTCTCACCCGCCTCAACGGTTGACGCTCCCCAAATGGTGGTTCTCGGGGTTCCTCAGGTCTCATTTTATAATTTTGAGAATGTGTCCCTACCACTTCAAGGAGAACCAGCTATCATGTTGTTTCATGTTGTTTCTCGTGTCTCCACCCTGAAAAGCTTTGGGCACCTTCTCCGAAAACAAAACAAAAACACGAAAACAACACCTGGTACCCTCTTGTCCACCAGGGGAAACCACCAGAGGGTCTAAGGAAACTTCCGTCCTTGGAGCCCTCGGGATGCTAAAATCGTTTGCTGCCAGGACACCCCATCAGAGTGCAGGATCTGGATCTCTCCCCTGGCTTTGGGTCCGGCGTCCAAACGGTCCAAAGAGAGCGGCTGGGGTTCGAAAAAGCAAAGAAAGAACTCGGCCAGAACAGACCTTCAGGTTGGAATGAGTATCTTGTTTCTTCGACTGCCTTTCTGACATGTGAAGGGAAGCCCAAAGGACAACTACCTTTTTGGGGGGGTACTGTACCTCTATTTTGTCATACCCAAAGTGGTCCATGTTTTTGGACAATGTCAACGAGCTTGCCGATTAGGGGAAAAACCAGCTCAACAACACATGAAGGGCCTTTGCTTGATGTTTGTTCATTATGTCCAATCTGTGAACTGGTTATTTGCCCATATATCCATCCCAGTGTTTCCAGATACAGTTATAGTGAGTTGCCAGGGGCATCATGCAACACCTCAAGGAGTACGCAAAACTACCTATATTTACCTACGAAGCTGGCAACTGGAAGCACTGGGCAAATGGTTTCAGGAACTGAACCACTGACTTTCATTCGCCGAAGATGAGTCTTTGTTGTTCTTTTCACTCCCGGCGTAACATGAAACCCGAAAATGGGGGTCCCCCCAAAGGAATCTGCTCTACAAAGTCGGTGTTCTGATGCCATGCTCTGGAGAACCACGGAAGCTCCCACACACCTCCCATTTGCGGATCATGTTCCCTGAGTTTATTCTTGCAGTTTCCTGGACTTGAAATGCTCATGACCGGCGTATTTTAATGCAGTGCCTGGAATGGTACCAGAGGCTTGAGACTCAGTGGAATGTTTTGCCCCGATATCAAACCGCGACCCACACTTCGGGGAGTTCTGACATGGCACATATGAGGCTGGAGCCGGCCAGCTTGGGCCGATTCTGTGGAATCGAGTTTACCGACAAGGCACCCAATGCACTGACCGATCCACGCAGGATCTGCGAATCCAAGTCAGGCAAGCCCCGGATGGGTAACCATCTCAAACTTACGGAAACCTTTTCTTCTCTTCTGTTTTTGCAAGGTACACGGTTCTCAAATTCGGGGTCCATTAAAAATAAAATTTAAAAAAATGCCATCGGTTTTCCGCTGGTTTCCCTTCGCCCTAAAAAGGAGTTGCCCTCAACACACCCAGAGCCATGGTTTGGAGCTGAAATCGGTGGTTTGGGGGTTAAGGCTAGGTTCACATTTAGTCTACAAGAGCAGGGCTTCGAATCCAACGCCCCAAGCCACCATTCCGAGCCAACTAAACGTTCCAACCAGGGTCATTATCTTGAGTGATCGTAGTCGGCAGGTTGTTTCCCTGCCTGAGAGTGGGGTAAAATGGCGAGGTTTGCATCAAGAACCTGCTCACATTTGGTGTTTTTGACAAGCAAAACCCCACTCCTAACTATGATGTCCCAAATTTCCTCAATGAAAGTTCCTACGCAAATCACTCTCTTGCACAGTGGCGCCCTTTTTTTCTCCTTTGTTTGGGGGGAAAGGTTCCCTTTAAAGTCAACCAACAAAAAAAACGCCGATTTTTTCCCCATGAAATCCACTGGGCATCTGAGATCACAATCATCCCTCACACGACATCACCCCAAATGGTGGTTTACGTGGGGAATATTCCCCCAACCACCTTATTTCAGGTGGCTGAAATATGATAATTCACCCAGAAATTACGAGGCCAAGGAACTCCAAACCAGTCGCCAGGGGCGCCGTCTTGCTGCGCTCCACGCTGTCGTCCTCGCCGGGGGCTCTTAGGGCCTTGTGTCCGGATCGAGGGCAAGGCCCCCGTCATTCTCAAAACAACAAGGACCCCTTCTCTTGGTCCACCCATCCGGTTCCTTAGCCTTTTAGCCCTTTAGTGTTTAGTGGTTGGATTTCCATGTAACCCGCTAGTTAGTCACTTTTAGGGGATCGGTTCAGCCCAGTTCTTTGGTCTCAGAAAACGCGCGAAACGTCCAGGTAGCAGAATCTGAACATACTTTCTGTGTAACTGCCTGGATGAGGGCCAACTTTTTTGGTACGGTTTCTCGCACGCAAACCAAAAGGAACCAGCATACAACTAACAAGATGTCCTTCAGCTGGGTTTTTCAAGTTTGTCCACATTTGTCCTCCCAGCAAGTGGTGTGTTTTGTATTTTCTTGCTGTCCTTTGCAGTTCAAGCGCGATTCCAGGGACGTTCTTGTGTTTCGGACAGGGAACATCCAGTGTCTGCAAAAGCTGAGTTGGACCAACTCTCTCAGCGAGTTCCTGAACTTTGTTACGTACTTTTTGTCCTGGGTTCAGTCGATTCCCCTTGTGTGGATTTGCTACTCGAAGTTCCAAGGCCATACTCCCAGCACTTGTTTTTCTGGGTTGACGATAGTCAAAGCCTCGCTGAACCCGCCACTAGGTTGCACGGAATGACGCCTTGTACAAGTTGTTCACCCAAGACTTGGAAAGGGGACATGATCCAAGTCGACTCATGTTGAACTTCCTTCCTATGGGCTCCCTTTTGGAAGCCATGGCTTTGGAGGGACTGGCCCACTTTGTCCGCGCAGATGCAGAAGTCAGAAGGGCCACTTGGTTCCCAGAAGTAACAAAGGCCAAGTTGTTGTCATTTGGTTGTGGCAAGAGCCATAGCAAAAATGCACAATGTGTATGCACATAGCCCACATGCACACATTCTACACATTGAACAATGTATCGCAAGCAGCATCCTTCAGACCTCCAGGGGGGTGGGGGCTATCCCTCGAACCATGCACAAGAAGGGCAGGTAGCTTCCCTGACCCCGAAATCCGCCGGCTTGGGTGCTTTTGGTGCCTTTTTGTTGGGGAGGTTTGAGCGACTAAGTATTGGGCCTGGGGTCCCTTTGGTGCTTTTTGCGTTTTTTGTGGTGGGGGCGGGTGGTCGTGAGACTCCCCTGAGCACAACTAAGTCCACGCCCAGTGCCCCGGACTGCCAGCGGATTCGACTCGAGGCGTCCGCTGGATGTGGCCGCTTTGAGGCGAGCCGCGTCTCAACGCCACGCCCGGCTTTTGCTGGGCTCGTTGGTTCCTCCCGTCGAACGGGGCATGGCTCGTGTTTCACAGCAAGCAGTTTCTGGGCCCTTTTGGTGGTGAAAGCCCAAAACGGGCAACACATGCATGTATTTGCAGTATTGTGTAGAAGCACAATGTAGGTTTATACACAACATGAAATAGGATGCATGTTTTGGGAGCCGGTAGGAGTAATTACACCTTCTGAGATGCATCACCACAGCCTGCGCCAAAAAGGGCTCTATCGGGAGACAAACACCTTTGAGCCAGACCAGGACTTTTCATGGACTGGTTTTCTTTTGAAACTGTTTTGACCGGATACTACTCCTAAGTCCCCCAGCTACTTGCCCTTTCTCACCCCTTTTTTGGTTGGGAGGGTTCGGGACCCTACTAAAATAGACTACAGAAAAACAGTTGGTGCCAACTAATTCTAACCTCTCAAATCTGGAGGACCTAGACTCTTGTGGGGAAAAACCTGTTTTGTGCCTGCAGGAAGTCCAGAAAAAGAAGCAGAAACCAAAGGCTGAGTCGCGAGCCATCCTGGGCCAACTGGGGTGCTCGAAACGGGGTAGTTTCATATATGGCTGGCTATGGGTCAAAATTAAACCACTAGGATATGGAGCGCAGGTTGTATGTTTCCATTTATCGGGATTCCATGTTGGGTACCCATTTTTGACCCACAGCCATATGTATCTACCTTGAACATGTGAATAAGTTTGGAGTTGCCTCTCCAATCCACTACAGGGTGAAAGTAGATGCACACGTTCCCTGTTTGTAGGCAAGTAAGGGGGATGATGGCACCAAAAAGGGGGAATAATGATATCTACCTTCACCCAACTTATTAAGTCCCTCGGGGCTTCCAAGCCCCTGGTTGCTTACTGGAAGACCCGGTTGTGTTTTTGTTTTCAATCTCCTTAATCGTCTGGGGATGTTTTTGGCATTGTGCACTTCCGTGAATCGTTGCGAATTACGCACATGGATTTGTGCTCTTTCAAGGCACCATTTTCAGGTTGGCTTAACAGGAAGCCACAAGAGAACCCCCGCATACCTACCCTCTGTGCATTGACTGTCGAGCCCAATCAGCTTGTGGCAATCAGATGGGTAAGCGGTGTCTGCCTCGTGTTCCCTTTTCTTAGGCCTCCAACCAACTCACTTGACATGGCCTCGAAAGGAGCAGGTTCGTTCCACTATCACTCCGGGGAGAAGCTGAATCCGCATGCCCCTCATATTAGTTGAGTGAGACCAGTGGGTAGTTGGACTGTGTTCAGGTAGCCCTGAATCGGTTGGCGGGTTGGATTGAGGACGTGAAGCCCTGGTTCTTGGGGGTAAATGAGAAGCCATTGCCGGAACACCTCCAAACCACCAATCCAATAGGGTGTCTCTCAACGGAGGACCCTGAATATCATCACCATCGTAATTTTGGTGTCAAATGGGAGGACCCTGACACTTACCACTTGAATTTCGGCGTGTCTCAAAATTTCAAACTAAAGATATGGGGGGCTGGGGGGAGAGGGGGTCCTTTGTTCTTCCCCTCGCAAAAACTTTCATTTTCGGGGTTCCAAGCCCCCGCCGGCCCCCGCCGCCAGGTCGAGCCTGCACAGCTCGGATTTCCAGAGCGACCTCAGCGAGACCATCACGGCCTCCCAGGTCCCGGCCCCAAGCGCCGGGTTCTTCGGTTCCGAGGGGGCGCGGTGCCGAGAGGTGCCGAGAGCTGAGAGGTGCGGGACCTTTGGATAGGCTGTGGTGGTCAACACCGTGGTTGATCCCATTTTGGTTGGTGAATTCACCGGCCATTTTGGAAAACCTATTTTAGTGGTTGGATTGGGATGTGCACTGGGGGTACGGGCTTTTGACCCATGGCCAGGTGTCCCCAGAAATTAGTGCCCTGTCTCGCCCAACTTTTTGGGTGGGGGGGGAAGTTCCCCTACTCAAATAGACAGAAGAAAAGTGGGTGCCCTTATTCGGACCTCTCTAATGGAGTTCCAAGATGTTGAACCAACTTTGTGGGCATGGACGAAAAATTGGCGGCAAACGTGAAGTGGCGGCCAGTCCTGCACCAGTTGGGATGGGTGAAGCCGATAAATAGCGGGACAAGCTACCTATCGACTGGTGCAGGGTTTTTGGCTATCCACACTAGGTCCTGCTTTGCATGCTGGTTGCTAGATTTGAAACAAACAGAAGACTAATCAACTCTTCCGTTTTGCCACCATAGGTAACCAGCCTCAGGTAAAACCTACGGGAGAAAGAAACGGATAACCCATTAAACTGCAGTGAGTAACAGCCAGTTCGCACATGAAACCCCAAGCGCGGGCCACCCATTTCCTGGTTATCTCTGCTCATCAGCCATTGGAGGTTGAGTCCAATTCGTTTCTTGACATGTCCAAGGTCACAAAAGCAACGAGGCGAAGCGAATTGTCCCAGGTTGAAGGGGCAAGTACTTTGGACCATGGCTCATGGGTTCTCAAGAGGGGTGTGGGAATGAACCGTGGGATCCCCTTAAAAGGAAAGCGATTGGATGGTTCCTTTCGCAGCTTTGGGTTTTGGGAAGGAACGAGTTGGATGGCGTGCTTCACAGGTCATGTACTAGCGAGCTCCTCTGGGAAGGAGTTGTCGGTTTTGCCGCCTATGAAAGTAGTTTAACCAGAAATATGTGGTTGCCTGAAAGGACTTGGGATAATTTTACTTCGTTCTTCCACTGTTTGCGGTGGAAATCTATATCCCTCCCGAGTGCACTTTTTTGACTGCCACGCTTTGTTTAACGCAACCTCAATATGGGTGTGTCTCAATATGGGTGATAGAGCCTGGTTCGTTTGGGAACCCTGGATTAATAAAGCCCTTGATGACGTTTTCTGGGGGTGTTACCTGTTTAGTTGGGGTTTATCACTTTTGGATGGGAATACCCCCCTAGCAATAGGATGAAATTGTTAATCCGGGGTGACCAATTTTCATGTGATAACGCAAACAGGGGCTTACCTGTTGCCAGGGCCTCGAGCAGATCTAGCCACTGCGGGTGTAGTACGTAGCTTTGCCTGAGTGGGTCGGTTTTAGCAGGGGACAACTATGGTTTGGGGTAACCCAATTCCAAGACACATCCGAACGCGTTCTGGGGTCTCTGACTCAGAGTCTTGGACGTAGAGACTTCGCCGAGACGGCCGCACCTTCGAGAGAACTTGAACAGATCACACCTCCGGGGTCTCAAGATCCCCCAATTCCGGGAGGATAGGTTCTCAAAATGCGGGACCAAGTCCTGCAGGTGGTTGTCCGTCTGGTTTCCCCTTTAAAGCCATGCAAAAGCGTCTCCTATTTTGAGAACCCTTTCATATAAGATCCTTTCAGTCGTAAACACGACATGGGTGCACCAAACGGACAACTGTTTTGTGGTGAACGCACGGTTGCCCTATGTTGACAAAGCCGAAGTCCACACAGAAGGCTCCCCAAGGTGGAGTTTCGCTGAACCCCGTGTTTGCAGGAGTGTAAGCACAAGGTCCGGACATTTTTCTCGCTCAACTGGGGAAGCGAGGCGACCCGAATCCGTTGTTTCGGCTTCCCAGGTCGCCGCGCATGCGGTCACAGGCGAGTTGGGCCGTTGGGGTAGGCGAATGGCGAGCAGTTGGCCCGATGGGGGAAATGTTGGATTCGGGGCGCTGTGCTTTGTAGTGTTGTTGCTTCCATGTTTAGATCGTTGGATCTTTGCTTCGTGCTTTGTGCTGTTGTTGCTTCCATGTTTAGTTGGATCTTTAGATCTTTCGCGAGCCTGTTCATGGTGAGAAAAGATATGTTTCTGAAGGAAAAGCGTCCCTGCTTTCCCATAACCACTGGAGCTCTGTGAAGTCACAGTCCTTCTCAACGGACGTGAGATCTGCAAATCAGCAAAAGGACACCCCTTCCCCCAATTTCCGACTGTGAGTGTTTTGCCTGTGCTGTTTGATCCGTTTTTGCCACGTGGTAAGTATGACCCCCCTCCTTTTTCTCTCCGCGGATGAAGCGGGGTGTCCCCCACCCCAAACTACAGGATCTAAAATGGGCATCCCCCCGCTGCTGACGTAAAGAAACCAATTCATAGGCATGTTATACCAGGGCAACTGCGAACATCAGCACATCAGCTGATTGATCCTGCTTTACATGCTGGTTGCCAGATTTCAATCAGACAAAGAACTAGTCATATTCATGTAAGTCCAATCGTAAACCGAGAGTGCCTCCAGTTTCCACTTCAGCCAGGGGCCTGCGGTTCCAAGTAAAACCTAGAAATGCCAAGGGGGTTGAACCTTGGCCGGACGCATCAGGTTTGATCCTGCTCCTGAACTTGCTGTGGGTTTTGGAGAGCTCCACTGGCTAAATACCGCCTGAAACACGTGAAAAAACGCCATCAACGATACCAGAAAGGTTCTGACCACGCCATTTCGGGACGGTTTCCCAAACCCAACAAATGCCCTCAAAGGGTCCGTGTCCTTGGCGAGGAGGCGAGGAGCTTGCAACCAAGTCGAAGTTGTTGTGAGGGACCTTTGCCTGCATTCAGGCCCTCAGCAAACCAGAGGGATGTAGTGTTACATTGCATATGAATGCAGTGTTTAGCCAGAAACTCTGAAGTTCCAGGTGCGCTGCTTGCCTATGCCATATTTGACTGGCAGGGTTGACAGGGACCAGCAAAGGAGCAGGGATGACTGTTCACCCCTCAAACGAGACAGGTTCCTTACGGAGCCTTAGGGTAGCCTTAGAGAACCCCCCGGTGCCATGGACACTTAGAGTCTATCTTTGCAGCTTGGAACCCTACACAAAACAATACCCTCAAAGAAGGAGGTTGCAAGCGCAACAGAGACCCTAAGTGTCCAGTGTCCATCATCCCCCCCACCCCTCCCGCCCCCTTGGACGATTCGAGACCTCAGAGCCTCAGGCCGCGTCAGTGCGCGCGCCATCACGGTGGCGCCGATTTTGCACACGGGGGCCCGGGGGCCGAGAGACCGAGGGACCTGAGATGCCAAGAACCACTTGGCTGGCTTCTTCTTGAAGTGGTCCTGGCAAACGATTTGGTTGGCCCGTTTCGGGCTCCTAGGCCCGGAAGTTTCCTTAGACCCTCTGGTGGTTTCCTCTGGTGGACAAGAGGGTACCCGTGTTTTTGTTTCCCCCTTTTTTCTTGGGAGAAGGTGCCCAAAGCTTTTTGGGGTGAGGGGTTTAATGGAGACACGAGAGACAACATGAAACAACATGATAGCTGGTTCTCCTTGAAGTGGTAGGGGCACGTTCTCAAAATTGTTAAAATGAGACCTGAGGAACCCCTTGAACCACCATTTGGAGCGTCAGGTTGAGGTGGCGCTGTGGCTTGGATGTGATCGACATTTAGATGGACTTTAGATGGTTTAGAGTCGTAAACCAACCTGCGATCGGTTCGATAGGTAGAGAATGAGAAATGGAATGACCCCGAGATAAACCATCCCCGATTCGGTTTCCTTCATTCCCGACACCCTGGCGATGTCCTGTAGAATTTCCAGCTGGCTTCTTGGTTTTCGAAAACAATTCCCAAGGAATCAAACAAATCCACCAACCTGTTCTTGACCCCCATTTTGGCATACCCCTCTTCTGACCAGATGGGTTTGTCTTTTAGGTATTCTCAGAAATGGTGTGTGTGTGTGTGTTGCCTCTTGGTTTCCTTTTAGGTACCAAATCAGAGAACATCGACTCCGAGATGTTCAAGGCAAGTTTGAGGCTCTTCTGTGGACTTTTAAACTTGCTGGTGCGATAGGTAGGGAATGACCTTCTGGGTTTTGGGAATGAACCGGTTTGGGGGATTCCCTAGGAAACCGAATCGGGGATGGTTTGTCTCGGGGTCATTCCATTTCTCATTCCCTGCCTGTCGAACCAGCAAGTCAAGAGTCCGCTCCCGGAGTTTTCTAGTTTCCATTTTACCCAAAAGTTAGTCACTTTCAGCAGAGGATCTGAAAACGGACAGCCCTTTTTTGGTGGACGCTTTTTGAACTCACGCCCGAAGCAAGTGAATGGCCCATCTAAGGTGTGTCTTGAAACAGGGTGTTCCCCTTAAATCGCTGGTTTTCCTGTTGAGTTTTCCCCCAGAAACACCACCCGACTTCCACTCCCGGAGTTTTTGTTTCTTTTTTGCCCCGAGGTGCCGGCGAAGCCGCTCTGGAAAGCCATGGGCATCACGGGCTGGCGCCTCTCCGAGGCGCGGCGGCCGAAGCCATGTGCTCCGTGTGTTTTTTTGAGGGAACAACCCCGCTGTTGGTTGGTTTCAAGGGTAGATGGTGAATCGTCAAGTTCCATTTGCGCTTCAGGCTTGGAGAAGTTTTTTTAGGTGTCCCCTCTGGGTTTTAACGGGAAACTATCACGACTGGAAAGATTCCACGGTTGTTTAGGGAGCGAACAACGCCAACGGAGGAAGTTGTGACCAAACTACACAAGGGGGAAGCAAAGCTACCCCCCCCCCCCCCCCCCGCAAGGTTTCTGAGGACCATTCTGGGAAAGGGCGGCCAAATGACTCGGCGATCAGGTTCCCATGGCCCTCGGCTTAGGGAAAAGAAGGTAAAAATAGATGCCAGCAACCCTGTGCAGGATCCACCAGGAAGAAAAGGAGGCCCAGATGTCGGAATTGCGAACATGTATGAACAACACAATAAAGGATACCAACATGGGTTGGAAACACGTTGTTGTGTGAAATAATATTGAGAAGCTAGGCCCAAGCTTGACAAGCTGATCATTGTTTGACACATTCCAGTTTCAGGCCAATCAACAGAACATACAGTTGCCCATTTCCACCCCCTGCCTTGTCTTTGAACACGGTTAGCAATGCAGTATGCAGTCGTGGGCTGCTGGCCGTGGGATGTTTTTTTCCTTTGTGTTTGGCGAGTTGCATTTGAAGTGAGCAGGAAACAAGGGTCTGCTTGCTTTGTCTCGTGGTCAGCTTCGAATACTGGTTTATTTGAACGGCTTTGAACGTACGGGAAGCGAACAAAAAACGAGCCCCAGCCCCAGAGCTCCAGTTTGTTTGTTCCGCTGGGCCGAAGCCTGGCTCAGGTCCTCCTTTTCCTGCTCTTCGCTGCGACCTTAGCGAAATCCCCCGCGATTTCCGGCTGAGGATCCCGCACCCGCACCCTTGGCAGCCCATCTGCCCAAGTGGAAGACCGACCTACGGCACCGGGGACCTCGAAAACCATTGGAAGTCCATAGGGCTCTTCGCTCGGACCATTCGTTGCTTTTTTTGTTTGGAAGACTAGCTGAGCGCTGAGCGGAATTTCGTGCGAAACCCATGGGGTATCCCTATGTTTGCCGGCCACTTGGTCAGCAAATTGACTACTTCAGTACAATTATAACGCTAAGTGCTTGGTTCACCAGAATGAAGTTTTCATGGGCTTTCTGATTGTTCGGGCCCGTAGAGATCGGGCAAGGGCGAGGCATTTCCTACGAGGAATCCCTTAACAATGTGACCCTTTTGGGTTCCAAATGGCTCCCTGAAGGCGGTCAATGACCAGAGTGCAGGTCAACTCAACTGGGGTTCCTGCCGGTGAATTCGTGCTTCGATTGGTGGGCTTTGCAGGCAAAAACCGGGCCGCCTAACCCCGAAACACGCGTTGGACCACTCTTCACTGAGTTTGACGCTCAATATAATCGGGGTATATATATATATATATATTATACGCAAGGACCAGCTCACAGAGTGAGCAACCAGTTGTTCGGTTTTCTTTTGCTTGAGGTGGGGATGGTCACGGCCTCTACGGCTCACTCCCTGAGTTTCATGGACTTTGTACTTCTTGCGTTTGCACCATGCTTGGTTGTGCCCACCCATCCGGTTCCTCAGCTTTTAGGTTCTAGTTGGCCGTTTTAAAGCCCACCAAAAGCGAAACGTGTAGGAGATCTGAGGACAGCCCAGTTTAGTGGTAACCGACAAGTTTTTGCCAATCGGATGTGAGTAGAGAATTGAGACTGTCAAATCGAGGATTTGATATGGCTGTCTGAGGACTTCCCACTTGAAGTCCCCTCCATCTCTCCATCCCCATTGGGTTGGTCGGTTTTCCTTTGACTCCCCGTTGGTTCACCTCGCAAGGGGTGTCAAAACAGGGGCTCCCCCCCAAAATTGGGGTTTCCTTTCGTCCTTTCTTTAAATCAACCTTAAACGGAGACAAATAAGGCCCTCAAGAACAGGGGAATTTCCGGCATTCCCATGTGCATCCTGTGGCTCTCCGATTCCGAGGTGCTTGCCCTCTGTTGCTTGATCCCACTGCTGGCCCGGTACCTGTTCCAGCGCCGGCCCCAGAGCGGCCAGAACTCGCCGGCGGCGTGCGGCATGCGCAGACGCGCTTTTGAGGCTTCGGGGGTCCGGGATCCAAGAGGAAAACCGCAGCCATCCATGTTGGGGGTTTTGCCCATGTACCTCAGGCAAATAGCTAAAGCCGCTTTTTTTGAAGATCCGCGAAGCGTACAACAGTTTTTTCGGGTTTTGACTCTTCTTGGTACGCTGCATCTGGGACAGTGGATGAGAAAACCCAGCCGGGTGAAAGCGGAGACTTCTCGAGACTCCAGATTGCATGGCCCATTTCGGTGTCCAAGACCAAGAAAGCGGTTCCTGCTTGGGAGTTGCAACAAGTTGTGCAGATGTTTAGTTCTTAAAACCACGGCTTTGTGTATCCCCAGCTAAAGCCTGGCCCTTGGGGTTTTTGGAAAGAAGCTGGGCGCAGAGATTCTTGGGTCTTCCTTGGTCGCACCCAACTCCAACTCTTTGGCTGAACATTGGAGGCCTTTGCTTCGCAGAGATTCCTCCCGTCAGAATGATGCCACTTCCGTTTCGCCGGGGGAAGGCCCTCGCCCGACGTTTTGGGTTGGCAAATTGTGCCATATGTGGACCCTATTCTCAACCCCCGTTTATTCATAGGGATTTATAGGGTGTCCCTGGGTTTAGTGGGGAAACATATGGGAATCATTACTGGAGGGGACACTCCCATGAATAAACTTGGGTAAAGACAAATCGCTGTGAGAAGATCTGTGAGAAAACTGGGAGCCTTTGACTACGGTTTGGCACAGGCGAGCCCGAGCATCTCCCCATGTCAGATGGCGCACTTCGATGCCATGTGTACCACAGCCTCCGACCAATTGGCATTTAGTTGCTCGTGGGCCCCCTCTTGGCTGCTTGAATGGATACCAACCTAAGACCCGCCTTCCTTTCAGAGAGCCCGCGAGTTTGAGGCTTTCGCCTTCGTCTACGTCGCTATGGCATCCGAGAAACATCTTCTCCTTGTTCAATGACTATGGCAGGAATGAAGCGTAGAACCGCATGGTGGAAAAAATCGCGTGTCCAAGGCCAATCTTTGACCTCCTGCGTTTATATGTGTGCCTTTCGGGTCCTGCGCACGAGGCTTTTGTTGAGCTTTGTCACCCATCCAGCGCCCAGCTGTGCGTTTCTCCTGGAGATTTCAACGCCGACCAACGAGTGCCCCCCCAATGTTTGCCGTGTTTTCCCCGCATAGAACTCGATTTCAACGACCGAAACCACCCGTTTTGCTTTTTCCGTTTTCCCGGTTTTGACAAATCCACCGGGAGTCTGACTGAGGAGTTGGTCTTCCCCTGGAACTGTGGCACTTGGCCCGGTCGGGCCTCGGCCCGGAGCATCCGGGACGGGACGAGACGCCGCGCAGGCGCGGCTTTGGCCTTTTTGCGGATGGGGTTCAGGTTGGAGCTGTGGTTTCCTCTGGTTTGCTGGGGTTCAGGTTTGCTTTTGGTTTCCGCGGGTTATTTTTTTTGTTGGAGTGGTTCAGGTTTCCTCTGATTGTTTTTGGTTGGAGCTGCGGATGAAGGTGAGGTTTGTCTCATTTTCCATTTGAGCCGGGTCAACTCCCCAAGCCACCAGCTGGCTACCTGAGCGGTGGCCGATGTGGTTTGCCCCAGGATAGGGAAGCCCCCCCTGCAAAACAAAGGCGGTGTTCTATGTGTGTTCCCTTTCAAGCAACCCAAAGAAGGGTACGACAGAAACAAAGTCACCAAAACAAACACGCAAACAAACAGTTCTCGAGCTCACTGAACGGGGCTAGCAAGCTCTGCATCATGAAGGTCTCTTACACTATCACACGGAGACCTTGTTTCAGCCTTGTGGATATTATATATATATATGCACATGCCTGGGTGAGCCCTGCAGATGGAAGTCCACATACACATACATGAATATATATATATATATATATGTGCATGTGGATATATATATATATATATATATCCCTTGTCCTCTATTTACCGACTCTGTAGTTGACCCCCTGGTGTTTTCACTGGCGTTGGATACTTAGACCCAGCTAAGTGGTGAGTCTCCGAGTACCTTTCCGGTCAACCAATGACTCCTATGGCTGTGAGTTATATTCACCCAAAGGATTGTATGCGTATAGTGGGACCAGGTATTTTTACTTCTATGCCTACGTTGTACCATGGATGGCTTCCCCGCCAATCGCAAGGTGCAATCCGGGGGCTAGATACGCCTTCCAGCCTGCCTTCATGGCCAAATAAGCCCCGCTTGGATCGCAAACTACAATCTATCCCAGCGCTGCACGTGTATGGCCTTGCAGCCCTTAACGGTTGGATCACTCCCGTTGGGTTATAGCCTGTTTTTGGTTTCTTTTTTGAGCTGTCGGCTCGGTCGGCAGGTCTTCGAGCGAGGGCCCTACGAGCCACAGGCCCAGGTTGAAGCTTCCAGCTATTTCCAACAAAACTGGCCACATGACCTTCACTGTTGTCAGCAAGCTGCCAGTCTTTCGTTTTGCTTTCTTGATTCTCTTCTTTTTTTAGGTTTGGGGCTGCAAACAATCACAGTTGTTCGCTACCACACCAAGGGTTGTAAAGTGACACGAACGTGATTTTCAGGCTCGAAGCCAGAAGTCCCCTTCCTGAAATCAATCATGACGGGAGGGGGTGCAGCTATACCTTCCCCCCACAAAAACTAAACATGCAGCCGGAGTTTTGACGGTTTTTTGGAGGCTACAATTTGGCTACGTAAACCGTGAAGTCTTCGAAAGAGAAAAGGTTGGAACCACCATTTTGTGTGTCTTTTCGGTGGCTCCCAGCCATCCCAGTAGCTTTTTGGCCTTTTAGGGTTTAGTGGGGATTTCCATTTAACCCACTAAAAGTTCAACTTTTAGCAGGGTATCTGAGGGCAGCCCAGTCTTGTTGTGTCCAGGGAGCCGGGCAATCAGTTAAAGGGGAGCTACTCGCTTTCAGTTTGTGAGCCATTGGCCTAAGACGGCCAAAAACGGCGCGCTCAACCAGTGCCGGAGCTGCCCCGATGTGCGTGTCACGCATCCTGTTCGGACACAAAGAGGGCGTGATCAAAAGAGTTGGTGCCTTGGGTTTCTTTGAATAGCGCGGTTGACCTCGTAAGTCGTAACCCCATGTTTGGAAGGTTTGAGATTGACGAATTCATACTCGCATGTGGCTCTTTAATTTGGTGGGACAGTACTTGGCGCCGATCTTGTGTGTCACGCCAGTGCTGCGCGCTTGGTAGCCCGCAATTTCAATTCCGGACCTGAGGATGGATGATTCTTGTTCAATACAGGTTTGTGAAGTAGCGCGTGCCCCAAGCCGAGTGATCTCGATGCATATTTGGCCCTCAGGGGCATACTTGCTGTGGATAGCAGGGCTTACTTCCTGCATCCAAGGTGAAGGATTCGTCCCATCAACATGGCACGAGATGTATTTTCGATTTCCTGGGGCTCCGCAATTGGTGGAGACCCTCCCCAAAGCGTCGACCTGCGTTTCGGTTAGCACATCGCTTTGGCGGTGGCCCAGAAGCCTCCAGCGAAACCGGACAAAGAACTTGGGCCAAGTCTGCAGAAATTTAGGGCGAGCTCGTCATATGAAACAAGCTCACCATGAAGGCTGGATCCAAACAAAAGAACAGCTTTCCAAAGGAGAAGGTCGAAGTCCACTTGGGGCTGGCTCACTTCCATGTTTGTTGGTGGTGTGTTTCAAGTTTGGAATTGTTACACTTGCAGAGGACTAGAAAGGTAAAGAGGCAAAAGTGGTTGAGGCCCCGAAACCCCGCCGCTCGGGACATACTGTGGATGGACGAAATCCATGTCGCACCACCTAACAAACCCCTGGTT